GAGGAAGCCTGCCATCGTCTTACTCTTAGATGCATGTGTAGGAAGGTGAAGAAGTGGGGGAAGGAAGGGAAGGTGGGGCAAGAGGAGGAGTAGAGATGGGGAGGAGAGGAAGAGAAAGGCAAAAAACGCAACAGCAAATGAGTGAGTGTGAAACACGTCATTTATTATTAAAGCAAATGTGATAAAGCGTTGTTAGTTGATAGATCTGATAAAGCTCTAACTGTTTTTAGTACATTTTGGTAAATTGGAAACTGTTGCAAAATAAAATGTTAAAAAAAGAGTGCCATGTGTAGACAAGCATCCCTTCTGGCTCTTTTGGTGGTGGTGATGGGGTGTTCTCTGTACAATGTAGATCTGAGAAAGGGTGCTGGGGAGTGTAACCCATGTACTAAGAATAACAGAATAAAAAGATAAGCCACAGAGTCTCTCATGCCATGGAGTGCTAGCCCTGGGCTGCTTCCCCCAGACTTTATTCATGTGGGAGACAAATACACCTCTGTCTTCTTCAAGCCATTAATATTTTGCTTTTAATTTCATTGCAGCTAAAGCTAATCCTTAGTAATGCACTGTGCTTTTTAAAAATCACTACTGAATTCTGTGTGGAGCTTTGTATTCCTCTTGTGTCATACATACATTAACTATGAAAACTCCCTGGCTTTATTTGTTTCGTTTGTTTTTCTTTCCTGTGAGGAGAATTTGTTTTACTGTGACAGAGGTTCAGTCTCTGTGCTGGGGCTGGAGGGTCAGTATCTGTGCCTCTGGGTGATTTTCCTGCTGCCGACCCCTCCTTTGTCTTTCCCATGGCAAACCATCTTCATTTTGCAAATTGCTAAATTGGTCTGAAAGGATTGTGAGAACTGGCTTTCTTAGGAGATTTCTTGTCTTGACCGACCCAGCTGGAAACCGGATGTGCAGAGGTAAGCACTTGCAATAATGAGAAAATAGGAAATTTTAACTATTTCCAGTTGTCAGAAATGTTTTACTTCAGCTGGAGGAGTCAGAGCAGGTTTTGAAAGTGTTCCTTCTGCCCGGCGAGTTTCATGTAGCAGATTCTCGTACTTTTTCAAATGTGCTCATGTTCTGACTTGCTCCTAGGAGGGCTCTGCCTTTGAAACTATTTATTGCTACTAGGCTGTGGCTCAGTCGGTCCCACGGATAATAGATGGGTGTGTGTGCCCACAGCACAGCATAAATAGTCTCGGACTTCCAGCTTGTTTATTGTTAGACTGGTATGTAAGCAACAGAGCCTAAGTCCTCAATTATGCGTGTGAGCTTCCGGGTGGTGGGATACAGGAACTTGAAAGTGGATCTTGCAAGGATGGTGCACGGTATTCTGCTATTTCCTTTAAAGCATTTATTTTTAAATGTTACAGGGATGCAGGCTGTATTTATGAGTGTAATTTCCAACATAATGTTATTTCATGGGCTAGAAGCTCTGTAGTTACAAGAGAGATTTCTTGGTGGGGGGGTTTGTGGCGCAGACTCTCTTGGTTCCTTGGCTTGTATGAATTGGAAAGTTAATTTGGTAATTACTTTAATGAAAAGGATTATATTTGGAACTGCCATGGGTGAGGTCTTCCTGCCTTCTAAACTCCACAAACAGCACAGAGAGGAAAGAGAGATTGCTGTTATATACACATTTTATTATTATTACTACAGAAAAAAAAATACAGTTTTTTGGGGGGGTTGTCCAGAGTCACTAAAGAAGCCCCTTTCACAATCTGGCCAGCAAGCAGAACAAAACTAACAAACGCTCAAAGACAACCAATGTCCAACCAAACCCCAGCCACACTTAGAGTGGTGGACAGTGCAATCTGAACGAAATACTCCCTTGGCCTCTGAGAGCCAGGGATGATGGGAAAAAAGGAGAAAGTAGAAATCAGGATATTTCTGTCTTCTTACAGTGTTAGGAAAGTTGTTGGGACTTCTGAGACTTGGGCGCCCCTTCAGTAAACTGAGTCTAATAGTACCTATCTCACGAAGTTCCGGGAGTGACGTGAGATGGTTTAGGTACCAGTGTTTTACAACTGAAAAATATGTTCAAGTAGTTTTTAACAGTCTGTTAATTAAAAGAGCAGCGTGCCCTCCTCAGGGTTTGCAATGCTGATTTCCTTGGTAAGCAGCACTGTAATTTACATTCTACGTAGTAGTGATGATTAAGAAGTTGTCAGAATTTTTATGCAATGTGCATAAATCTATTCTGATTAAGATGAGCAGCATTTCCATACTCTCAGGATCATTGCTGTTATTAGGGAAAGCTCATGAGAAGGAAAGTAAGCAAAATTTAAAAAAAATAAATAAAAAACAAAACCGTAACTTCTCTGGACCTTGAGAATGCAGTGTGAAGTGTTTTGAGTGTTTGCGCACAATGCGTCTCTTCCAGGTAGCTTTGGGGTTACCAGAAGCATGGTACTCCTAGTGTCCTCAGGGTTTGTCTATGTTGTGGTATTTCCTTTCTTTTTCAGGCTGAATAGTGCTGTATTCCATTGTATGTGTACGTGGCATTTCGTGTATCCATTCATTTGCCAGTGGACACTTGGGGTTGCTTTTTCTTTGGAGTATGATGAACATTGGTGCTATGAACATGGGGGTGCAAATATCTTTTCAAATCTTTGCTTTCGGTTCTTTTGCATATATACCCGGGAGTGGAACTGCTGCATTATAATTTAATTCTATTTTTAACATTTTGAAGAACGCCATAACGTTTCTGTAGCAGCAATATCATTTTACAGTCTCACTAAGGGCGCACAAATGTTAGTGTTTCACCACATGCTCCGTGGTGCTTACCTTCTGTGTTTGTTTTCATTGGATCGTTCTTTTGATGGTCGTCATCCTCATGACTGAAAGGTTGTACATCACTGTGGTTTTGATTTGCATTTCCCTGGTGATGAGTGAGGCTGAGCATATTTCCATGTGCTTGTTGGCTCTTTGTATATTTTCTTTGGAGAAATGTCTATTTGTTTCCATTTCTGATTTTAAATATGTGACAAAACATACACATAGTATCATGGAAAAGACTTTTTAAAACTGAAAATTCCAAAATTTCACAACTATTTGTTGATTATGCAAGGAAACAATGAAGGAATATGTTTTCCTTTAGTGGCAAAATTCACATTTGGATTTTCAGAATATTCTGTGATGAAATATATAAAATATTGGATACATTTTTAAGTAGATATGCTTTTATTTTCTATTAAATGAAGGTGTATGTGTCTAATAGTCCATTTTCTTAAAATTATCTGAGAAACGCTTTGCATTTTAAAATCCCTGCAGTGGAAGACAATTATTGGTGGTTTATATTTGGGAAATACAAATATGAGCTTATGTGTATCTAAGTACCATAAGCAATGTTAGAACTCTTTTGTTTCAGTTAATAAAACTGTTCAAAAGTTGACTTCACAATATGTGATTCTTAGTGTGGGGTAATAATATGAATTTAAAGGGCTAGTCCTAGTTTGGTATCTTACGTGTTTCTGAAAGCTATTATAATTCTAGTATATTAGATATCATGGTTATGTTATGTAGAAATCTAATGAAACGCTCTAATATCACACACACACATACACACATACACACACACACACACACACACACAGAGAGAGAGAGAGAGAGAGAGAGAGAGAGAGAGAGAGAGAGAGAGACAGGGTTCTTCTCTTGGCCTTGTTGGATTAGAGGCGCATGACCAAGAGGCAAGCTTTATGAAATTGTACATACCAGAGAAAGAGTGTAAGAGACTTGGTCATGCAGAAGAGTTTTGCACAATAGGTGGGCTTTTAAGAACATTATCCAGGAGAAGATGCAGAAGCCTTAATTAGTTTGAACAGCTCTTTCACTTGTCAAAAAAAACGTGCCTTCTGGTGGAGTTAGGATTTGTTACATGGTTGATCTAATGTGTCGCATGTTGAGCACAGGCAACTGAAATGCAAGTTAACAAGCCCTTTCATGACCTGAGGCTTCTGCTGGTGGACCTTTGAAGTCTCTGGAATATTTTTTCTGTTTTTCTGAGTGCCAGAGTGGCTCATGCCATGGCAGTTATCACACTTAATGCTGTCAGAAGGGAAGTATAAACTGGGTGATCAGAGGCGTGACTTCAGAGAGCAAGGCTTGGGATTTGAATCAGTCACTAGGAATGAGGAAGGAAGCGTGAACCAGGGATTGCTGCTGCAGATTAAACACTATGTGGAGATGCTGGGGATGAAAGTGGCTTTTTGCATTTTTAATGAATGCGTTACTGGGTGATATTACATAGGATGCAAATCCAGAAAGTTAAGTTTGATGAGGTAAAGATGGAGACAATGAAAGGATTTTGAAGGGTTGAGCCTCTTTTAATGAGTTGGTCTGCAGAGTGGAAATTTCCAGAAAGTGGGTCATGAATAGTTTGTTGATGGAAGCAGTCACTTGGTAGCTGTGGGGTGGCCTCCCACAGGCCAGCTTGAATCCAGTTCTCGTTTTCACAGCTGTTATGTGGACCTTGATAAGAATGAAATGCATTATCTTTCTGCTGTCTTTGTAAACAAATACTGCCAGGATGCTGAAAAGCTTGTACCAAACAAGCCACTGAGAATGGGCTTGTTGTGAACCAGGTTCTCTAGTTCTGTGCCTTACCTTGCGCTAAGAATGCTGAAGTTTCATTCTCTGCAAGAGCTAAAATGTAACATACTTTGTTTACACCATGGTGGTTTTTTTCTCTCTTATGTTTGTATTAAAGTGAGTAACTTAGTCCCAGAAAAATTACATGTGGGGCTTCCTGCCAAGACCCAGTGCCAAACATGAATTTGGTGATTAAAGTGTACAACGTTAATCTTTGCTTGACAAAAAAAAAAAAAAAAGTTATGGTAGGCTGTTGTTTGTTTTTAATATTAGATAATCAAAAAATGGAAGAAAGCATTATAATTAAAATGTATGATCTAGGAAAGGGTGGGTTACTAAGTTTCTTCTTGTATTCTTTGGTTTCCCTTAGGTGGTGGGGTTGGCAGTCAGGCAGATACTTTTTGTCCCCCAACCCTTTTTTTTTTTTTATCTCAAAGCTTTGTATTTCAATATTATGTATCTGTAGGATGTCAGCGACAGAAATTTTAAAAAGCGGTTTTCATTGATTAGTCCAACAAATGTATCTTGAGCACCTAGTAGGAGCCAGAGTATATAATGGGCAGTGACTTTGTCTGTGGGGAAGTCTCAGTCTTGAGGAGGTGATAGATGGACGAACATGTGAAGTGGAGGACACGAAGACTTCGTCAGAGGCAGTGGCAGTGGGGTTCAGTGACAGCTGGGGTGCCCTGGCAGCAATTCAGAGCCAAGGACAAGTTCAGGAGGCCCCTGTGGCTCAGGGCTTGGCGTGGGTGTGGTGTGTTAGGCCTTGGGTGGTATCAGCCACAGGTGTCTGGTTGGGGCAGCAGGTTTCAGGTATCAGGGGCAGAGGCTAGGTGTAGAATCAGGGTTTTTTTCCCCCAGACTCATAATTAACTATCTCAGGGTGTGAACGTAGTTTTTGTTTTGTGGAGTAAGCTGAGCTATAACAAATGCTGTGAGTTTTTATTTCAGCTGGCCTCTCATTAGGCAGCATAGGGAAACCATGCTTTAGAGGTTGATTTAAATTTTTTTCTACCTCATGATCTAAAGGGAGAGGTTTCTGGCTTGAGAAATAACTATTTATTGAGTGACAGCTCTGTACTTAGTATTGTGCCTGAGAGACCTTTACTAAAATAGTTTTCAGAGAAGAAAATGGATACTGAGGTTACCAAAGTTTCCAAAAGTGGTGACAAAGGGATCAAATCAGCTCTGAATTATATGCAAGCATATTACTTTATTTCATCCTTAAAGATAAAACTTTGATGGGAAAATAGCTGAAAAAATAAGAAGCAGCTATGTCGCAAGGTATTTTGATTCTTATTTGGCTATTTAAGTCATTTTTAAAGACTTTTTTGCCTTTGTAGGGAAAATTTAAGCTGAATTGACAGATTATGTGATTATTTTTGGCGCTACTTACAAGCTCATCAACATTTTGGGAAAATTATAGTTTGAGTAAATTTCAGAATTATAATGGAGGAATTGGATACCTTGAAAACTTGTGCCTATTTAAAGGATACCTGTCCATTTTCTTTTATTTTTGTATCACTCAAGACTTACTGTGGCCAAGTAAACAGCATTGTTTAGTTTTTCTAGGTAAAAGAAATTTTTCTTTTGGACGGGAGCAAAATTTAAAAAGATTCATCCTCCTACTAAATTATAAAAATGAAGTCTCCTGAGGTTAAAAGCGATTAATCAATTTTGACCTTTTTATTTGAGACAGGGTTTCCGTATAAAGTTCAGGCTGGCCTTGAACTCACTTTGTAGCCCAGGCTGATTTCAAACTCTCAGTGATCCTCTTGCCTCAACTTTTGACTGGTTTTTAAAACTATAAATCAACTGCTTTTTAAAAACATGAATCTGTCATCACAGAATAGCAACAGAGCTTTGTGTCCTAAAATGTATCGACACCATGGTCAGTATAAAACAGAAAATTCTGGAAGGAAAATGAAACAGAAAAGAGAAAAAGCAGTCAATGAAAATAGACCCTAAGAAAGTACAGATGTTGAACTAATAATGACTTTAAAGGAGAATACTAGTAGTAATATTATATATCCCAGGAACTAAAGGTTTTGTCATAAGAAAAGAACAAGTGAAAAATTTCATCGGAAAAATCAAAACTATCCTGATGAACCCAATGAAAATTCTTTAATTGAAAAGTGAAATTTCTAAAAAAAGGAAAATTTTGCCACATAGGCTTAATAGCTAATTAATGAAAAAGAAGAGTAAGGAAACTTAAAAAGGAGTAAATTGAGGTTAATCCAGTTGAAAAACATAGTTAAAAATTGAAAAAGATTAACCAAAACTCAGCAAATTGGAGAACACATCAAATAGTACATGATGCATGTCTCACAATCAGAAAGGGACGAGGAAAAACCTGCTCGGAAAGTGCTATTTTAACAAATAATGGATGCTTTTAAATCCCTCCCAACTTTGTTGAAAAATGTTAGCCAACAACTCCTACCACAAAGCCAAAGAAAATTATAGTTAAAACGTTGAAAACCATAGAAATGTGGAAATCACAAAACAGCCAGAGCAACAACAAAAACAGTACAGTATGTACAAGACAGCAATGATGTGAATGCTCACAAAGTTATCAGAAATAATGAGAATAGGAAACAATGAGAATCACTTGTTTTAAGAGCTTAAAGAAAAAAAGATTTTTCAACTGGGACTCTGTGTCTGGGGATGCATATTGTGCATATGAAAATGAATTTTCTTCGTAGTTTGTTGTATTAGTTAGCTCTTCATTGCTACTATAAAGTACATGAGCCTGCTAGCTTATCATGAAAAAATATTTATTTAGATCATTATTTTGGAGAGGGTGGAGGATTCTGACTTGGCTGCCAAAGGACAGTCAATGATGGTGTGTATTGGTCAGTTTTCACGTTCCTGTTATAAAATGCCTGATAGCTGGGACTTGATGCATGAGAAGTTTAATTTTGTGCAAGGTTTCGGAGGTTTCAGTCCATGGGTGACTGATTCCAGGTCAGGAACATCATGGCATGGTGGAGCAATGTTACTTAGTCCATGGTGACTGGGGAGCAGAACAGAGAACAGTGCCAGGACGGGAAGGATCAGAGACCAGATAGAGGATCCGAGGTTACATAGCTGTGATTCACACAGGCACACCCAGAAGGGTGGTAAGGTGCCGCTTTAATCAGTTGACAACCACACAATGATTAATGGTCACATAATGATAGAGTGTGTAGGAACAAGGGCCACATATAGACCAGGAGCAGGGGTTGGGGAGGTCCCACAATTCTCTTCAAAGGCAAGCCCCGCGTGACCTAGAGACCTCCCACAAGACTTCATAATGTTGTCACCGTCAGTATCAAGCCTGGATGTGTGAACCACTGGGTGAATTTCAACATCCAAAGCATAGGATTTGGAATCTCTGAGTTAAACTAAGACCAAGAGGGTTCAGTATGATTTCTCAGTATTGAGAAGTTCTAAGAAATGAATATTACATTCACCAGTTTCCAAATCATTTTATTCACAGAATATCTCTGGGGATTAGTTTTATTTGTAAAACTCTTCTGGAAATACTGAACTTCAGGAGTGAAATTTGATACTATTTATTTTTCATTTTCATTTTCAGGACTCCAGGCTGAAGAGATTTTGGAAAATAATTAGCAGCATATCTTTTTGTGTCTGTAATAATGAAAATGTGAAGCATTTCCTACATTGCTGTTGCTTGTAGCTAATAGCACCGTTTTTATGTTGAATAGCTTTGGGTTTTTGTCAGGTGAAATATTTTCCAGCAGGGCTAAACTGTTCAGGGTTGTCTTGTTAGACTGTTTAGATATGGATGAGGATAGAATTTCCACCTAGAGTTTTCAATGCATATTTTATGAGTATAATAGAGCCAGGAATATAGAATGAGCTGTAATACAATAAGGTCATTATCTTTTGTGTCTCTGTTTCGTATTTATTTGTACTGTTCTATATAGTTTAATCACAAAGTGTTACAAATTAATGCTACAGAATGCAAGCGGTAAAAGTAGTCCAGAACTACACTGTAAATGACTTAAGCCATCTAATTACAGTGGAATTACAATTTCTTCAATTTAATTCAGGGAAGGATTAAGTGTCATAAATTTCACTGCTGCTGAATGACATGACCTTCTCTTTGAGTATATTAGGACACGGAGCTTAAGAGATCAGGATTTAAAAAATTTATTTTGAATTTGCTTATTGTCCTCTTCTCTTATTCCTAAATCCAGCCATAGCTCCCTAGAAGTGTAACCTTTCCTCCTGTGGCTGAGTGTGAACTCTTCACGCCTGCGCTGAGCCTTCCCCAAGCTCTCATGGATTTCAGGTGGGGCTGACACACACCATGAACAATCCTCCTTTGATCTCTTTTGCTCTCGCTTTTCCACCAGGATTTGTGAGTCCCCAGTCTCCTTTTCTTCTAAATCAAACAGCCTAGCAGAAGACTCCTAACGAATTTCTGCAGTGGCGGTTCTCTATTGATGGTGCTGTGTTTTGCAGCATTGAGCCTTTGGAATCTCATTAGAAAGGCAGGTTCCTGGCCCCCCTGCCAGTTCCCTCAACCTGAAACTCTGGGGGCAAGTCCAGCACTCTGTACCCCAACAAGTTCCACTAAAGACTGGCGGTCAGTAAGGTTTGAGAACGTTGCTCTAGAACGATTTTTTGTCCAGTTGGTGATTAGACAACAAAGGTAAAGTGGAACCTAAATTCTGGCTGCAGGTGACAGCAGTAAATTGGATGAAGTACTTTTCAGATGAAGTGAAGTATTTTAAAGGAAAATAGTAACAATCCTTTGAATTAATAATAAAGGGATAAAAGAGACTAATATTTACTGAACATTTTTCTGTGGGAAAAGCCTTTTGTGTGCTTCATCTCTTTTAATTTTCCACAGCATTGCTGAGGTCAGCACCAATGTTAAGGCTGCTTCACATTAAGGAAAAGGTTAAGAGGAAGAGCTGGCCACGATCAAGCCGTTCAGTGGTGGAAAAGGGTTGCGATGCTTGGCTGTAGTACCAGCATCGATGGTACTACATCGATGGTAGCAAGCCTTTGGCAGTGCTACTTGAGAGCTCAGACAAGCCCATCTCCTCCCTCTCTGCCCCATCACCCCTGAGAGGCCAAAGACTTACTTATTTCTTCTTTTTTTAAATACAAGAAGTGGCACCGAAGTTCAGGTCTTTGCAGTGAGCTCCTGTATTACATACTCGTTTCTGGCTTGTCTTCCTCCTCAAATGAATATCCACAGCTACCTTGATCAAGTGGAATAAATGTTATACTTCATTCCCTGTGAAAACACATGTTTAGCCTCCGTTCTTTTGAAAATTTATCTCACTCTGGAAGTAATGAATTCAACTGACCTTTTATCTGTGGCCTCTGGTTTGTGGTTTCGAAGCTTTCCAAGATCAACTGAATGAGGATGTGGTTTGGCATTTTAAATGGCTAATATGGTATCAAGTTGGATGATTTTCAAAGCAATTAATGCTTGAATGAAGTCTTTATCCTACTGAGTTATGTGCCTCCCTCCTCCCCTCAATTTTTTTATTGGATGATTAGAGGCAGCTTTGAATTCCATTCATGATAACTGAGGGGTTTATTTTACCTCCAGGATATTTTTGTTTTCTTGACCACCAAGAAAAAAAAATCACGTCTTAAACATGTAAAATACACAATAGTAAGAAAAAGAAAAGGGATTCTCTAAATGGAAATTTATGTAATCTTATTTTAACATAAAAGCGTTAAATTAAGCTTCAAAATTACTAGTTGGTTTGGTGCTAGCACTACCCTTTCTACCATGTGGATTCCATTTAATAGAGGAGACTGAAAGAAGGACATTAATTAAAATTGGAGTGATTAATTTCATTATGTGTAAGTCAATATAAATTAATTCCAATGTCAGGCTAAATTGACTCTAGTGTCAGTCATTCTACAAACTTCCTTTCCTTCAATAACTGAAAGCTTATCAGACATTCCTAAGAATTTAGAATAGCGTGTGTGTGTGTGTGTGTGTGTGTGTGTGTGTGTGTATGTGTGTGTGTGTGTGTGTGTGTTGCACAGATGCATAAGGGCGTGAAAATATGTACTTAAGAAATGTCACTTTTACACTAGCTTTTATGTTTGGATAGCGTTCAGTATTAAGCAAAACAACCTATTTTGAATGACGACAGTTTCTCTCTCTCTCTCTCTCTCTCTCTCTCTCTTTCTCTCTTCCTCCCTCCCTATTTCTGTTTCCTTCTTTTTCCCTCTCATACCACATACAGCTGGAAATAAGGAACAGCTTTGCTCTTGTCTGAGTCTCAAAGACTTTTTTCTCCACCGTGCACAAAATGTTATTACAGATTATTGCTCTCTCGTCCACAAAGACTGCACGCTGTGTGGAGGATAATGTTTGTTTGGTCTGTTTGGTGCAGCAGGGTTTTTTAGAGGGTCACCCTTAAATGAATCAGAAAAGTAGCTAGAGGTGTCCGTATGACATTTGTTTCCTTTTCTTCTTTTCCATCCAAGAAACAGATCTGTGAAAGTGCTGGGTACCTCATTCTGCAGCTCTGCCAAGTAATGGTGGCTGCGTTTGTTTTCCTGAGCCTTTAACATACGCATAAAATCAGTAAAAGTTTAATTTGGTTTCTGTTGTTAGTTTTTGGATGAAAAAGGATTCCCTCATGTATCCAAAGTGACATTTTTCTGGGTTACATGTGACCTATTGCATATTTCTATTTGTTTTAATTTCTTTGTCTTTACATTATTTCAAACACACTGTGATCTATATCTCGGGTTACCTTGTGTGTGCATGTGTATGTGTGTGTGTGTACATGCATCTCTGTGGCACATACTTGTGTGGGAAGAGCCAGGGAGTATTTCAGGGTTTGTAGGACGTATGCTGTAATTCTGTAGTATAAAAAACAGACACATGAACAAGTGGGGCTGCCTGTATTTAAATAAACTTTATAAAAACAGGTGGTGCTCGGTGTCCTCATGGGCTGTCCCTTGCCCTCGCCTCCCCCTCCTCGTGCTGTGTGACTATTTATGGATTAGGTCTTCTGTAATTGGCCTCCTCCATTCAGTTCCTCTTCTGTTCCTCCTACTTGGAGAGACTCATGATTTGTTCTTCCCCGTCCTTGTTCAACTGCTCTCCGCCTTTGGAAGCGTCCTCCCCTGGCTTCTCTCAGCTGCTCCTTGAGGGCCCCTTTCTGGAAGGATCTGCAGGCAGCCTCCTCCTCCCACTGAAAAACCAAGACTTATCTAATGGTTCTCCTTTGCCACTCCAGTGAGGTCCCTCTTGAAGCTGTGTTCCTTGTGTGAAAAGATAACTCTCATGGGTTAAGGAGGTTCTTTCTTAGTTAGAGGCCACAGCCCTGACTTTGCCTCCTGCCCTGCAAGCAGTGTTTAGGGGAGAATCTAAACACTCAGCTCTGGGGTCTGCTCTGTCTGGGATTGGCTCCTCCTCGCCTTCCACCCCCTGAAAATGTTTTGGCCTGCTGTCCTTAGTGCCTCTGCTTTTCCGTCCTCTCCTATCTGTTCCTTGCTCTTCTTTGGAGCAAGTTTATTAGGGAGGGCTCTGTTCTGTTTAAAAAGGGCTTCTTTCCTAATTATCCATACTTGAGTAGACTCTGGGGTTACTGCCTAAGTGTTGCATGGTTTTCTTGCAGGCTGATGGTCACTAGTAGTGGACCATAAGGAAGATCATGTGCACACTGGGATGTTCATTTGGCCTTAGTAGGTCCCCTCTGAGGTGACTGGATCACTGTAATTTCCAAAATATCAGCTTCGGTGTTCCCTTCTACTGATGGTCTTTATTTATTTTGCCAGTTTTTTTTTTTTGACAGCCTGCTTTTTGTGCCAGTTGGCGTGAGTCCCGTCTCCAGCCCCACCCCAAGATGTCGGGAAGCTATCCAGTAGACTCTGTTTCCCGGAGGGTCTTTGACCTACACCTCCCTGCTCACATTGAAATCTCCATCAGCTCTTACTGTGAATGGCTGCAATCTCATCTCTCCAGCCTGTCCCTTTGAAACAGCTGATTGGACTCTAGGGTCATCACGTAAACACATTCCCTTGCTCAAGGACAATGATGGCACTTGTCAGTTATTGCAACAGCAAAGGAAGATAAAACCACCCTTGTCCCAAGGATCCATTTCAGCCCTTTTGGGAAGGTATGTTCCAAAATCAGGAAGAATCAATGAAAATAAGCCTTAAGCAAATTTCAAATGAGATAAAGATGTATAAACACATTTCAAAACATCATCTGGTTGCATGGTACCTTGCCTCCCTCCCGTCTTCCTGGAAGCCTTGTCACGTCTTGGTCAGCAGGCTGAGGCCCTCCTGTGGCTTTGCTGCCCTGGGTAGAGCTTTCAGAACCAGGGTTCCTGGGCAGCTCCTCTCCTCTGCCTGCATGCCTGGTGCTGCCAGGGAGGACTGCATTTCTCCCCTTGCATTTGACTGGATTTTCCCTTAGCTCCAGCAGAGGGATTCACGTCTCCAAGAGTGGCTCCTGATAAACTGTGAATCTTTGGATGGGGAGGGTCCTGGGAGCTGGCGAAATCCACAGTAGCTGGATGATAAAGGGGGCAGGGGGAAGCTTAGAGGGAGTGTGGAGGGTGGGAGAGAGGAGGGAAGATGGGAGGCCAACCAAGGAGAGGAGAGTTCTCCTGGGTCAGAGGGTGAGGCAGCAGCATTGCAACCTGTGTTTCAGTACTCAAGATGAAGTGCAGTGTGCTGGATTACCAGATGCAAAGCCTGCACTTGCAGTGGCTACTAGCAGACAGGAATAACAGCTGGGTTTTACTGAGACTTTTTAACGTGTCAGGCACAGTGTCAGTGCATTACACAGTGGGCTTTCTATACAAGCTGTTTGACACCACAACCATCAGAAACCCCAAGATTGCTTCCCTGCTCCTGTTAGAGTTTTTGGTTTGTTACTGTTTTGTTTGATGATGGGGGTCTTGTTAAGTCTCTAAGTATCCCAGGCTGGGTCTCTGCTTGCCATTCTTCTGCCTCAGCCTTCCAGAATGCTGGAGTTATAGGTGGTTACCACCACACCCAGCTCCCATTAGCTTTTTATTCAGTCAAACAGATTAGCACCTGCCTGCCAAATGCCCCCTCATCCTGTAATGTGGATGCATTCCTGGGACCCAGGGATTAGGATGTGGATATCTTTCTGGAGATAGAGCATGGTTCTGCCTACCTCACTACATTACATGGCAGAAGAACTTTGCAGGTGTAATTGATAGTATGGCCCTTGTTTCAGATTATCCTGGGTCTCTGGGATGGAGCCCACTGACTCACATGGGCCACTACAGGCAGGGAACCTTCTGTGGTTGGAATCAGAGAGCTGTG